GAGTAGCAGCACTTTGCTCTATAAGCTGAGATAATTCGTTATTTGTATGATCCCGAACAGGATCTCCCACTGATCACGCTCATTTTCAAAGTTATTTATATCCGCAAAAACTCAATGAAAACGTCATAGAGTTTTGCTGTCGATCTATTACGACAGTGCTACGCATGTTTTTAGTATAACAGATGAAATGTGCAAGTTTTGAGTTCTTCGATAAAGCCCAACTCGCGAGCACAGGTTTATCGAAGATTTTGTTAACTTGATTTTCCACTTATTTCTCTCACAAACATGCGTAGCACTGTCGTAATAGATCGACAGCAAAACTCTATGACGTTTTCATTGAGTTTTTTCGGATATAAATAACTTTGAAAATGAGCGTGATCAGAGGGAGATCCCGCTCGGGATCATAGAAATAACGAATTATCTCAGCTTATACAGCAAAGTGCTGCTACTCATTGTGCTACAGTATTAGGGTAGTACAGCCTTCTAAAGATGAGCAAACATGGAAGAACACAGATCCCCAGAGCACCGAGCTATGAAGCGGAAACTATCTGTCCGGGTAACTTACCCGGACGGGCGATTGATACATACCGGCCCAGATCTACCTATTTGATAGATTATATTTTAGAAAATAGCTTTTGTCGCTTCAGCATATACAATTTGTAACAAAAAGTTGGAGTTCCTCAAGGTGGTAAATTTTGCCCACTATTAGCTGATCTTACAGTTTCCTGATACGAATGTAAGTATTCCATTCAAAGTATCACAAATATTTACCAGATATTTTTATAGATACATGGATGGTCTTATTCATAACATGGAAGAAAATACCATCGATAAATACTTAAGAAAATCTATGATTACAAATTTCAAATAGAAGCTACATATTCGAGTATGTCTAACTGTAACTATCTCGACACAAAATTTGGGTCGGCCGCACCCCGGTCACGCCCCCAAATTAAGGCTGCGGGCGGGCCGAAAAGGCCTTTTGGGACCTCGACTCATTCGACCCCAATGTCTGAGAATGGATCTGTCTTTACTTGTTTGTTTCATTCTATTATCGTCTATTCCCCACAGTATAGCGGGCGGAGCTTTGCCGACGTTTACCAACGTATGCGCACGGCAGTTTTTGATAGCTAAAGATTAGATACAAAAACCAATGCTCTAAAGTAAAGGATCAACAGGTTTTTTAACGTGTTCAAATGTCTGCAGGTCCACGCCCGCTATACGCATGGAAAACGCCTATATCATTTGCATTGATTATATCATTTACCAGTGCATCACCTCTGCTTCGCAGAGGTTCGCACTGGCTCTACTATCTATGTGCCTTACTCATTCTCGTAAAATCGTGGCACTGGAACTCACCACGCTATGCCGACCACCACGAATAAAATGTAAACAACCACTCATTTAGAAAGTCTTTTCACGTGAAATCGGTGATTTTGAGTAGATGAAACTTTTCGCAGGAAGACAAACGCAAATTTGAATAGGTTTTTGGATTTGTCATGGCTTGGTAGTCGCCATAAAGGTAATAGTAACCGTGAGCTACATCTCTGTGCGAAAATCTTCTCAAACGCTTAGCTAGAACCTTGGCAAGTTGACCATTTACACAACCAATTCATTTTGGCGCCGTTTTCGTTATGTAGTAAACTTTCGACCACTTTTCTGGCTAAACTCCATCGCTTGCACATTTGTTTGCCAAGCTCATCCACGACTCTGCAAAAAGTGGTGATACGGACCGAATTTTGCGGTACAGAGGCCAGGTGGACCCGTTTGGCGCGCAATTTCTGAGGAATCCACTCAACGAATCTACTCGTGCTTTTGCAAGTTGGACTTTCATGAAGGTAGCATGCGCTATACAAAATTTGGGCTTAGAACGCTGGCTGGAACATGCTCCACGAATTTCGTAACAGACACACACACAAAGTCACACCGTTAGCCCGTTATTATAAGTCACTAGTTGACTTTCCCGGTCCAGCCCGGGCCATTAGTCACCTGCACTGCAAGTCCCCCCTTCTTATATGTTGTGGATGACTTACCCTGGAACCCGCTTCGAAACCGCATCCTCGTGATCCTGAGATGAAATGAGCTTCACCGCCCTTCTTTACAGACTATGGTAAAATGCTTGATTGAACACGATAAACCCTCAATTCCTTAGAAAAACGTAAACAAATCAATAAATCGATAGGATCCAACGAATCGCTGCGAAAAGTAGCCTATCATCTGCGCAGGGGTCGAAAACATATGTGTGCAAAGTTTCAGCTGAATCGGTTGAGCGGTGCGCGTTTCTATAACGCACATACCCTCCAAACTGACAATTTTTGAGTTTTATATATATATAGATGATATTTTGTTATCTAGATTGTGGTTGGTCATATATATGTGGATATTTTATTTATATTATTACTTATGATTCAAGTTCTAAGAATTTACACTTAATTATATTATACTTGTATAGTATGAATGGATTCTAATTCAAGCATTTAGAAAATGAAGATGCTACTGTATTAATGTTATATCCATTATCAAGTAGAATAATTTTGAGTAGTGAGATTTTTTGCACAAATCGTGTAAGTATGTAAACGTTCTCGCCATCCTATGTATATATGGTTGGTTTCTGATGATAATTGAGATACTAGATGTAGCATGTATGAATCTTTTGACATTAGAGTCAAAGTAATCAGTTTTATTACATAATTTTGTGATTAATTTATTGTTTACTATTACAATATTCAAGTCGAGGTAGTTACAGTTAGACATAATCGAATGTGTAGCTTTTATCTGAAGTTTGTAATCATAGATTTTCTTAACTATTTATCGATGGTATTTTCTTCCATGTTATGAATAAGTAATAGACCATCCTTGTATCTATAATAAATATTTGGTAAATATTTGTGATACTTTGAATGGAATACTTATATTCGTATCAGGAAAGTGTACGATCAGCTAATATGGGCAAAAGTTACTACCTTGAGGAACTCAAACTTCTTGTTTCAAATTATATATGCTGAAACGACAAAAACTATTTTCTAAAATATAATCTATCAAATATAGTAGATCTGTTAAGGTGTAAAATCTGGTTTTTGTATTCAATTGTTTATGTTGCTACTTTAATAAATATTCTTGTTTTCTTCAATTATAATGTACTTTTCATTTGTATTGTTGAAACATAGTTATAGGAGCTCTTTTGTGTTAAATTTTATTATTTCATGTGGTAGGTTTGCGAACATATTTGTGAATTCAGCTAGGAAGATTTATCGATAGTTAATGTACAAAAAGGGAGATGTCCGCGACACTGAAGACTATCGCCCCATCTACCTATTTTCCATAGTCTACAAACTCTTTACGCGAGTCATTTCCAACAGGATCGGAAAAGAGTTAGATGAAGAACAACCATGCGAGCAAGCTGGGTTTTAAAGAGGACTCAGTACGAGAGACATATCATCAGCTCCACGATTCGTGTAGAGGCGGGGTTTTGCCAACTCAAAGCATGGCAGTTTTTGATAGCGAGAGAGTACAAAAACAATGCTATGACGTGGAGATTAAACAAGTTTACCTGTGTTATCAGGCAAAGTCTGCAATACACCTCTACACTAATCGTTGAGACGATCAACACACAGTGTCAAGGTTCATCGGAGTATCACGAGAATACAGGATGCCACTCTGTTTCACCTTCACCAACCTGAAGAAAGCCTTTGACTTGTTGATATCAAAGTCGTCATGAATGCTTTGAGTAATCAAAATATCCCTGTAAGTAAATGCAAACATTTCGTGAGCAGTATAGCGACTTCACGTCCAGCGTCACACCATTCTCAAGGCCACCATTAATAACGTGAAAAGAGGGGTACGACAAGGCGACACCAACCGCCGAAGATATTCAGCGCTGCCCTCAAGAACATCATGCGGACGTTGAAATGGGAAAACGGGAATGGAAGTCGACGGACGGCAACCGCACCATCTACGCTATGCTGATGACATCGTATTGATAAAACCAAGCATCACGCAACAAATGCTGACCAATTTGACGAAGTGTGTGGAAAGACCAGTCTAAATGGATCGTACGAAGACGATGTTCATGAGAAAGGGAAGAGAACCTGGTGCCCGCTTTATGATTAACGGGACGAACATCACCAAAAGCCTAAGTTACTCCAACCTGAGTCAGGAAATTAGTATGACGAACGATCTAGCTCTGGAACTGAGCAGGAGGAAACGTACACATGCAGAGCTTATAAGATAACTAGCTGGCAAACCCCACTCAGCTCGGCCCTGTCTATAATATTTTCGTAATCAGCATGCTCACTTACACCCCTGCGCCAACTCTCAGCTCGCATCTCAAACTTTGCAAAAATCCGATAGAATCATTTCGATCGATAACGAAAAGCAGCCTGCGGCCCGCCTCAAAGTGTATGAGTGCAAAGTTTGGTCCAGATCGTTTCAGAAATGGAATTTTTTATGAGGAACATGCGAACATACATACACACAGACAGACACACATACAGGCACATAGTTCCTGGACTTCTTCACGTAGTAAGAAGTCCAAGAACATCCGTCTCCACGCCTACCTCTTCTTCCTGCTTCAGAAATGGACAATGAGAAAGCAAAATCAAGGCGAGATTGATGTTAGAATTGTACAGGCTCGCAAGTTAGGTAAGAATGACGAAGTTCTACTCTTCGTCAACGCTCGAAGATCAGGGCTGCCGCATACACCAAGTAGAACGAGATAAGACGGGTACAGGTAGTCGTTTTGACGACAGACGGTGGACGAGAGCTGTAACAGACTGGATACCACTGGACGTCAAACGCGAACGAGGAAGACCGCCGGCGCGATGGTCAATCTCGTTGTGCACTAAGGTGGTACTGTTTTATCCTTATCAGACATCATCCAAAAAGGCGTAGGCGTAGCGTACAAGATTAATATTCCAAGTCGCATTTGCTGCCCGGGGCGAAAGCTGACAACAAAAAAGTATGCGAAAGGAAAATAACAACAAAAAAAACGAGAAGACTGATCACTTAGACGTGGGCGGCTGTATGGGTTGTGTTGTGGAGGGGAGATGACTGACGACGATGAGCGGAGGAGTTGATAGCCGTAGAGCAGCGGTGGCGAGATGACGATGGTGTGCGAAGGAGTCGGAGTCACAGCATTTGAATCTAAATGTGTAAACTAAAAAAGGAAAAAATTGAAACCTAAAAAATATATTCAAGATTAGTGTGATGACACTTTTCTGTTTCGAATGCGTTACATGTGCCCCGCAACGGACACAGGAGCATGTTGTGGTCCGCGTTGCAGATAAAGCACTTCACGCCACAATCCTATCCGTGGCTGAAGGCACTTGTGCCAATACGTTCGCTTGCACCGCCCTTGCCACTGCGTCGGGGTATCTTGGGCATTTTTCCTTGGGATGGGCGCCGCTTGTCTTCATGTGGGCCGAACGCGCGGTTGGATCGTGGTTTCGAACGGTCCAAAAGAGTGTCGAGCGCTTGGTCGTAAGACCCTATACGGATCTCCAATCTAATACCGTGAACTCCAGGCGTTGTTCGAATGAATGAAGCAGGCAGTCCATCTTTTGCTCCATGGTCTTCCACGTAGACCTTGAAGTTTGCTGTCAATGTCGTCAACGTATGGGCGCTGATAGCTATGGGGCCTCTAATAGAGGACAGCTTCCGTCTTTGATAGTAAAGATGACGACTGCTAGGAGTTGATTTTTTAAGATCACTAAAGATTTTTTTAGGCAGGTTAGACTGTCTTTGTGGCGATTTGTCTACGAGTTTGGCCGTGTACAAGGAAACTTACTCTTTCTTCTCGGCTTTGGCCGATGGACCAAAAATGTCGTGTGTGCACTAAGGTGGTTTGCGCTAGAACTGTTTCATCCCTACCCGACATCACACAAGTAGGCGCAAATAACGATTTACACTCCGGGTCGCATTTGCGCCGCAAATTGCGACAGTCAGATATTTTCGCGAAGTCATCTAACAAGTCCTTCAGAGATTCCACGTCTTGTTAGGGCGAGCAAATTGGTCAACAATCGCCTAGCGACGGGGACGAATGGAGTCATCGCTCGTGCAAAATGACGAACAACGGAAATTCAAATGAATTATAATCAGCTCTCAAATCCGTCAGGCTTGAGATATACCTGACGATGGGTCGGTATAGCTGACGATAAGACGCTGCCAGCAGCAACGCCTTTTGTGCGTATCGATTGACGCCAGGCGACGCTGCTGCTGCTAGCTGCTGCAGCCAACGGGAAACAGACCCGCTATAGCTAGCGATGCTGCGCTGTTCTGCGCTGCTGCTTGCTGCGCATTGCTGCTCCTCGCTGCTACGCGATATGAAGCTCATTTTGGTGAGCTTCTCTCAGCTGCTTCATGCTGCTAACGCTGTTTTTACTCGGATTTGTCCATTTTTAACATATTTTTGAACTTCTGAAGGATTTCTCGAGCACTTGTTGCGATATTGAACCATGACAAATTTGCAAGACCAAAACGCAATGCATCAATAAGAAATACATTAAAGAATTGGCAAAGTCGACAAAGAATTGGATCTGACAACTGCACAGAACTTTTGCGAAGCAAAAGTGAAATCGAGTTGGAGTAACGGAAAAGCTAGAGGATTTTAACGACTTAGTGGGATGTTACCAGTACACCGCAGTACATTAACGGCAGCTATAACCTAGATTGTTTGGTTTTGCCTCAAGCATCAAGTTCTTCTGCGACTCTCTTTTGGATATTTGTCAAATGATTATTCACTCAGTAGATGCAACATTTGGTTTGCCATTTTACGTTTCTTAAAAAATTGTTGATTGATGAGAACAGGATGACTTTTTTGGATTTCATGTAATCATATTTTTCAATTTTGGTAGTTCTCAAGAATTCCTTGCATAATGGCCTAAGCTAAGCGTAGTAATGGGTAAGGTTACTTCGTCCATGCACTCAAAACGTAACCAGCGCAGCAGCCAAGAGCAGGCAAAGGCAGCGCAGACATCAGCGATTCGTCAACACCCGCTATACCTCTATCATCAGGTACATATATCTCAAGCCTTAGAGCCGTAGACCTGGCACCTCAAAACGTGACGGTTTTTGATAGCGAGATAGTTCGAAGAGCAATGCTTCAACAAGTTTATTCACGTTATCAGAAGTTCGCACTGCTCAGCCTCCATACGAATCTAAAAAGGGAACGATCCCAACTTAAGGTAGCGAATTGGAATAAACCGCATACCATTAGATGCGTCTTGATGAGCTGATTCCAAATCTATCTTTCATATCTGCGACACCGTTATCTGCAAAAAGTTATGTGCGGTTGAAAATGTGAAGTTGTCGGGGTTTCAATGCATAATATGCTTTAAAATCCAACTTGGAAGTGCACGACTAGCATGATAATGAGTATACTGTGTTTCAACACAGGTATGGAAAATGAATTTATTAACAATGAATAACAATAATGAAACGGTCGTAATGTGGGAGAGAGCCAGCGCCCCGTCTACTCAACCCCCCGGCTTATATACGTGAAACGGGGCCATATTTTTATGGCCCCGCCAAGGTTGTCGTAGTGACCTAGAAAGGGTCGCTATACGACAACACTGCCGGGGGGCAGAAGGGGCGAAAACACGACAAATTTAACAAATTTTCTTATCGGCTTGGCAACGGCTTGCATGACTGGGTGTGTAGCGGCTCGATGGCGTGGTAGTGGATGAGGCAGAGTGACGACTGGCTTGGCTGGCGTAACGGCGGAATATACAGATATAATAGCAACAGTCGTAGGTGGTCGAATGTGTGCAGTGGCGGTGAAGAGGCGGTATGAATACTGACGAAGGGATGGATGGGTGGGGTATTCATGCCGGGTGCCTCCGCTTGCGGTAGGAGTGCGGTGCACTCCCTTGCCTGTTGGGACAAAGGAGCACATTATGCTCCCTACCGCAGCATGGACACGATATCTCGCATCTAGAGTCATGGCGAGCTTTCAAACACTTCTCACACAGAGAAAGTGCGGCCACCCGCATGGCGCGGGCTACTGAATCCTGGTAGTTTCGGCATCGTGAGGAGGAATGCCCATCTTTGCGCTCGGGGGGGGGGGGCAGAAGATGCACTGAAGACGAGGAGCATTTCGCTCCACTAAGGTCGCGACTTGAGACTGTACCCTGTCAATTGCTGCGAGCAAATGGTCTATTCGCTGCTCAAGCGATCGAATGGCGATTGCAATGGTGTGGAAAGGGGCACCAGCCTCAGCTTCGTCAAGTAGCGAATCCAAGTCGACAGACATCGTTCGTGAAAGAGTGCTGTGGGAGGTATTTATACGTCATCTTTTTTTGTTATCGTGCTTGATGTTGCGTTATCTAGGTTTTTGGTTATGATAACGCTATGTGTTGCGCAATCATTCCTTATTGCTGTGCGATAACGGCTTATCTCGCCAGTGTGCAAGTAAACAGAGTGGTAAACTATGTGCAAGGCCGCCTCGCCTTTATTGCTTGATGTGGCTAGCTGTTATTGTCTTGCAGCTCGTCTGCTATCGGATGACCCGCACTGTATTGATTGCCTCTTATGCGTTGTCGAATGACCCGTACTGTGTTAATTGCTCCGCGAAGCATGCTAATGGCGAGACTCATGCTTGCCATGTGACCTTTGCGATCGCTAGCGCTATGGTCCACAGCATTCGAGGTCGTGTGTTCAATATGGCTTCGATATGTGCCATTGTTGTGCACATTTGTGGAAAAGTTAATTTCCGACGACCGACCGCCTTTTGGAAGGCGCGTTTGACTGACCCTACCAGTCTTTCCCAGACTCCACCCATCCATGGGGATGCCGGCGGATTGAAGATCCAAGTTATTCTATGCGTGGCACAGTAACTCATCAATGAATCACCTGTGGATTCATCGGTCTCATACATTGTGTCGATAAGTGCTTGACCGAGCTTGAAGTTGGTGCCGCAGTCGGTGCGCACAATTTTGGGGACTCCTCTACGTGATATGAACCGAATGAAGCAATTGAGGAATGTTCCTGTGGACATATTTTCAGCCACTTCCAAATGTATCGCTCTTGTTGCCAGGCATGTAAATATGCAGACATACATTCTATCGTTTTCTGAAGAAAGGAATGGGCCCATGAAGTCACAGCCGACATTTTCGAAGGCTACTGCAATCACCACTCGATCTCTCGGTAATGATGGCATTGGAGGTGCTCCATAGGGTAACCCAGTGCATTTCTTGCATGTTACGCATTTCGTAAGTAATTTCCTTACTGTTAGTGACGGTTTTGGTATCCAAAATCGTTGCCGTAATAGCGACAGTGTGTGTTCATTACCACAATGCGCGTTCTGTTCATGGATATTGGTAATTATGAGCCGAGCTATTGCTGAGTTGTTTGGTAATAATATTGGAAATTTTGTGTCAAATGGCAGTGCCGCATTCTGCAGTCTAGACTCATAGCGGATTATTCCGTTTTCATCGCGTATCACCTTCTGGTTGCCAAAACGTTTCTGGAGAGTGTTTACGTCTATATCTCTGTGTTCTTGTGCTAGAATTATGATCTCACTAGCTGCGATATCTTTTGCGACTATCTGGTCATCATGCTAAATTGATCTTCGAGGCGAAGTCGTAATTGTGTTGAACGATGACTGTTTGTAGCATTAGCCCATTTGATTAGGAGTTTTGAGACTGAAGCTACTGTTCGTAGTAATCTACTGAGCTTGGAGAAGCGTTGTAGGTTGAATAGTTTATCCGTAGTTACGTCCGTTTTGTTGAGAACAGGAGCTATAATAGTTTCGTCTTTCATCTCACCAACATTTAGCTGTTCATCGTCGTTGATATCGTTAAAACAGCTTATATGTTTCAGAGGCCATGTTTGAGGGTCGTCATTTAGCCACTGCGGGCCTCGGATCCAGGCACTCTCGTTGATTTCGGACGTGGTCAACCGTCTGGTGCCATTGTCTGCAGGATTGTATGCTGTGGATACATGTAGAAAGGTAACTGATATGTTTTTTGCTTCGATTTGCGACTTTATATTGATGATTTTGTCTTTTTGATTTGTCACAAATATCGGAAACGTGCGAGATGATGTTAACCAGTGTAGTGCTATCTCGCTATCGCTGACTATTTTGATTTCGGCGATTGCTGTCAGTTCTTGCAAAACTGTGTCCGCTAGACGTAACGCTACCAATAAGCTTAGTAGCTCGAGTCTAGGGATAGTCTGCGGTGTTGCCTTAGGAGTGAGTTTTATTTTACCGCATAATATACTGCTTGTATATCTCTTTGTTGGGAATTGCAGATACGCGCAGCTGGCTATTGCTAGTTTGCTTGCGTCTCCAAAAACCCACAGTACTGGTCTTTCCTTGCGGGTGATAATTCTGGGCACCGAAACTGAAGCGTTATTCACTCCTGCGCATTCTACATTCCATCTTTTTGTGAGGTCCGATGGCAACTTATCGTTCCAATCAGCCTTGGTGTCGTAGGCTTCTCTCATAAGCCCTTTAAGTTTTATGAGGAGTGGACTGACTATGCCTAATGGGTCATATGTGGAATTTATCTGACTTACAATAGTTTTCTTCGTCAGATTTATTTGCTGTTGGAATGTTGTCCTAACCGTAAACATATCAGTGTTCGTATTATAGGTCAGGCTGAGGAGTTTGATGTCTCCAAAGGCAGTTCTGTCTTTTTCGGCTATGGCATCGTTCACATGAGGGCAGTTTGACACGTATTCCCTTAGATTCATGCCGATTTTTGCAAATAGTTGTTTCGATTGTTTATATTTTTCTATTGCTTCTTCCACTGTATTTGCTGTTAACATTATATTGTCGACATACAAATTTTTCATGATTTCTCCAGCAAGTGGAGTGTTTTGTTTACTCAGGTAGGTAAGAATCACCATATTGAGTATGCTTGGTGATGCGGTGACCCCAAACGGTAATCTTTTGAATCTGTATTCGATTCGTTTGATTTGTTGGGTGTGACATTTATATCCTTGACCCATAAGAAGCGGCATAAGTCTTTGTGCTCAGGGGTCAACCTGATTTGAGTAAACGCCGCTTCTATATCGCAAAGTATGATCTTTGGCACTCTACTAGCCAATAGTCAAAATTTTGTTTACCAATGATTCACCTTTGTAAGTGACATCGTTCAGCGATAAGTTGCCCTTTTGTTTCGACGATGCGTCGAACACTATTCTCAATGGATTGGGTTTGTGGGCTCGCCACACCCCTGAGTGTGGCATGTAGTACGCCTTCAATGATTGAGGCGTTGTTGAGGTGACTTTTTCGATAATGTCATTCTCTTCGTAATCTTTTAGTATCCTGCAGTACCATAATCGTTGTTGGTGGTTGTGTTTTAGCGAGTACACTAGCGATGATAATCTGCGGATCGCCACGGGATAATTATCCTTGAGATCGATTATGTTATCCTTGATCGGTAGTGGGGCCGTTACTATTCCCTTTTCAAAGGAGATCTTTTTGGAATAGTTTTCAAGGTAATTGAATACCTTCTCTGTTTGAAATTCATTTTTGGTTATACCCAAACCGTCCAATTCAAACATCTTTTGTAGCAATTCTCTTTCTTCTTCGACGAGACTCAGAGATACGATGTCTTGTTGATGACCGTATGAGACAGTCGGACAGATGAAAATCCGTTAGTTATAACTGGTTTTGTTTGAATGATCAAATCCAACTCCTTCCCATGTGCCGTTGCTATTTTTATTGGCACTTTTGTGCTCTGGAACTTTTCTACATGTCCACCTATTCCAGACATTACACAAATGTCTGACAAGGGAAGGATAGTTGGATGCCGCGGCCATTCCTAATGATTTGTATACCAAAAAATGCGCCTTCGAATGCAGATTCTGAATCTGTGCTCGAAATCTGCGAAACGATCTTTTGAAGAAAGTTATGAACTTTTTTCCTTGAAAATTTAGCCTACTTTTGGATAGTAAAAATCACCAGATTTGATCTAGCCTACCGTTTGATGCTACTGAAGAAAATTTTAAACGTAGTAATATTTATTTAGACTATCTGGATCATACTCAGCATTTGGAAAGGAGAGAAAAATTTTTATTGATGATTTTGACCCTCCGCAGGAACGCAATTTTTTTAATGAAAAAAATCATAACTCCATTCAGATTATCGATTCGCAGATATGAAAGACAGTGTACGAACCAGCATTCAAAAGCGAATTTTTTGGTATACAAATCATTATGAATGGCTACGGCATCCAAGTATCCTTCCCCTGTGAGCTTTGCTTCGGTAATCCAAACGCTTCGGCTAACTCTTCTTTTATTATTGTTTTTTGAGCACCGCTATCAAAGAAAAACAATATTTTTTCGTACTTTTGGGTGTGGTTATTCCAGACATTGCCTTCTGCTGTCATCAGTACAAATTGTTCCTTTGACCACGAGTTGTTTTTCTGTGATATTTCGTTGCTTTGCGGTAACTCTGTGGTGTGAGTGTTGGCCTGATTCGGCCGCCCTCGTGGCTCGTTTTGCCTGTTGCGCAACGTATTTTGCGGATATCTAACTTGTGAGGGCATACGCCTGTTGTTAGACTGATTATTGTTGGCCGTGTTTTGCCTGTGTGGTACATTGCTATCTCTAGTCCTGACACATAGGCACGTGTTGTGCGCTTGATTGCAGATTGAGCAATTTGACCAGGTGCAATCAAAGCTGTGATGATCGTCAGCAAAACATTTCCAGCATAGCTTTCTTGCGATGATCACTTTTCTTTTTGCATGAGCATCGGTAGCCTTGCATTGGATCCCTGGATGCTCTTTAGTGCAGAATATGCAGCGTCCAGTTTTTCTTCTAACATCTACTTTGTGGTGAAAATCTTGCGCTTTGGGCGGTTTGGAGGTGTCCCTTGCATATTCCTTCCCGCGATTTCTCAAACGAGAGTCTACAAACATTTTTGCTGTAATTTCTTTTTCAAGTTCAGTCATTACGTTTTCAATCGTAACCTTTTCATTATGCTGAGTGGATATCAACACATTTTTGACAATATGATACGGGAACTTTTCTAGTATCTTTTCTGTCCACATGGCATCCGCAATATTCCGGATGTCTTGACCGGCGGATACCATTTGATTGATTAGTACCCTTACTTTTTCATATTTGGCCATGCAATTTTCTGCTGCGCCATTTGCAGGTACCATGTCTATCAATTTTTGCACGATTCTTGTGCGGTTTACCGGTTTATTACCGTATTTTCTTTTGAGTTCCTCGGTCATCCATGTGTAATTTTGTGGAATTAGTTGTATTCCCTTCACCGTTAATTCAGCCCTTCCTCTGAGGCTGTCTTTGAGAAGAAACATCTTTTCTACAGTGGTCAGACGTTTGTTCTGATCGACTAAAGTGGTGAAGATTCCCCAGAATTCGGGAAATTCTTCCTCCTCTCCATAGAAGCGTGGTAGCTTCATCTGTTGGGGACTTAGGTTGTTGCAAATTGCATTGCCATCTTTTGACGATTTACTCTCTTCTGAGTTGTCATCTGTCAACCAGGCAGCATCTGCTGGGCTATTTACCTCATCACTGCTTTTAGATTGAGGTGGCGGCGATCCTTCTGAGCTAATTATTGGCGTTTCACCACTCGAGCTGGTGCCGCTTTGAGATTGATTGTGAGTTATTCCCAGTTTTCTTGCCATTTTTTCGGCATAGTTGTTGGCTTCGGTGAGCCTTGCTCCCAACATGAGAACCATTTCATTGGCTTTCGCCATCCATTCGTGGAAATTTATCTCTTTTTCAATTTCCTCCAACTCTTTTTCGGCCTCTTTTTTGTTGGTTTTTCTGGCCTCTTCATAGTCTTTTTGTAGTTTATTTATAAGACATTGAAGATCGTTTTTGCCTTGTTGAATTGCTCGTATGCTGCCCTTTATGAGGTTAATTGCACTACGGCATTCCTCGTAGTTTTCTTCAAATGAGGCATTGAGCGTTATCTCCTCTGTGTAGGAGGAGTACTTCTCCAGCAACGCTTGAAGCGTTCTGGTGCTAAGGGAGATCGGCATTTGTTGAATATGAGTGCCATGACTTCCTTTTTTTTGGTTAAGCTCGCTAGGTTTATGCCCTAGAACTTTTTTGCCAAGTTACTTGGTATGTTTGCTAGGTATATGCCCTAGACTTTTTTTTTGTGCCAAGGATTTCTTGGTCTTGATGCTAGGTGTGATAGCCTAGACTTTTGTGCCAAGGATTTCTTGGTCTTGATGCTAGGTGTGGTAGCCTAGACTTTGATCGGCGAAGGCTCTTCCCGGCCGATGCACCAAAATGTTTCAACACAGGTATGGAAAATGAATTTATTAACAATGAATAACAATAATGAAACGGTCGTAATGTGGGAGAGAGCCAGCGCCCCGTCTACTCAACCCCCCGGCTTATATACGTGAAACGGGGCCGTATTTTTATGGCCCCGCCAAGGTTGTCGTAGTGACCTAGAAAGGGTCGCTATACGACAACATACTGATTCCAGGGAATGCTCAGTTTCTAAAGAAACACAGATAAGTGTTTTTGAACAGCTAAAAAGCAACCAAAGTTCTTTGGTAAAAGCTATGAGCAATCAAAAGTCCAAATTTGGCAAATGTACAGTAAGTTTCGACCCGCTTTAGGCGGAAATTGGACTGGCGCGAGTCCGCCTCGCAACAGCTCGCACCGTTTCGCAGCTACAGTATATCCTATCGTGCTGAGAACCCATGTCTGCGTCTCTTCAATCCTTCTAGTCTTTACTTGGCAAAATGCCAGCGCTATGCGCCCGCGAAGCCTCCAGCGATGCGCATGCGCTGCTCCACGTAGAATATCTCGCCTAATCCGGGATGAAACCGACTGTACAGCGCCATACCTCGAAAATTAGTTGTTCAAAAAGACTTATCTGTGTTTCCTTAGAATCTGAGCATTCCCAGGAATCAGTACACTCAATATCATGCTAGTCGTGCACTTCCAAGTTTGATTTTAAAGCATATTATGCATTAAAACCCCGGTAACTTCACATTTTTAACCGCTCATAACTTTTTGCAGATAACGGTGTCGCAGATATGGAAGACAGATTTGGAATCAGCTCATCAAGACGCATCTAATGGTATGCGGTTCATTCTAATTCGCCACCTTAAGTTGGGATCGTTCTCTTGTAAGAGCCGATCACACCTCAAATCTCCGGAAACAACAGAAAAAAAGGACAAACAAAAATTCAAGGCCATTTTCTTCAGCTGAGCGATGATATAACGTGGCAAGCAACTTCTATCTTTCCGACACTGCTCAAAAAGGAAAACAGAAGATTTCACGAGCCACAAAAATCAGGCGTCTCGCAAAGCGCAGACAGTTCCTATGCACGCATGAAAAGCAACGCGCAAAATCGGAAGTTTCCAAATCTCGTTTTGAGCTCTCTATTCAGTGCTGTTTTTGGCCTTTTGTCCTAGCTCTTGTTGGATGTTTGTCTGCCATTCTGTCTATCCTTAAATTGTTTTCCTTGAGGTGCTTGAAATAGATCGTACTTTCAAATGTTGTCGTTTAGAAGCACGTATTAGATATGTATCCTATTTATTGACGTATTCATGATCTCTGATGGGTTTTTGAATACTTATTGTTAGAACTAACCATCTAGGAGAGTTTTATGGAAAGTGGGAGTAGCCTCCTTTTAAATTTCTTCACCCTGATGAATTCTTGATCATAAGGGACGCTATTATACTCGCGTCGGTATTCCTCGCGAAATACAGAGTTTTACATGCATCATTTTCAATCTCCAAGTCTTGAGCGCAGACATCGTCACGAGTATGTGCCAACTTACGCATCCATGTCTTTCTTGATTTCACTTATCGTTTTTTTTTGTATATATTTCTTCTGAAAAGTTTGGGAACTACAAAGTGATATTTGCAGATGTCAGGGGGTCATCATGACCCCGCCAGCTACGGTTGTACGGATAATAAAATTGCGACATCGTCATCGGTGAGTACTTTCACTTTATAAAGAGCTTGAGCGTAATTTCCTTCGAGATTATTTATGTATTACAGAGTCCACAGGTGAATTTCACCAGTACTACAGCTAGCAATGGGCATATGTCTTCATTGTAAGTTGAGCCTTGGTTGATTGCAGTCACCTTTCGTAAAATGGTCCTTTTTCATTTTAAGCCAGCCACCATCGTAGTTTGTGGATTGAATCGCTAGTAGCATTATTGCTTCAAGTTGTTGAAAGTAAAGCTTTTGTTGGTATTTTGCTCCATCTGATGTCCGTCTTTTTGCGCAAGAAGCAGTTGCAACGGTTGTGAAGTCAAAACTTCTCTGGTTCAGTGCAAACCAATGTCAAAAGAAGCGGGTTGTAGTATGGTTGAGTGGGTAAGGCTTACTATAGACCTTCTTTTGCCAGCATCATCAATGAGGGGTTGCTTGCTTTCTGCAGTACTCTTCCGTAGTTGCTGAGCATTTTGAACGTTTTTCTTTTGAGATACTCGGAGGGCAGCTCGGCTATCCCTGGAGTTCCCGTTGATGCTCCGCTGACTGTTAAACAACATTTTCAGCAACAGCGAAAACAGCAGGTCAGATTTTCCCGCCAATCGCACGAGTCGCAGCAAGTTACAGCAAATGTTTAGAAAAAGAGGGCTCGGGAGAGTCGCAGAGAGGAGAGGTTGCAAGCTGGCACCAGACTTTTTACTACCACCACGACTGCATCGCTACAATCCTCGTGAGTAATAGACTGTAATAGATATGATTTTTACAGTCATAAATCCTTTAGTTTGATACTCAGCTTTTTTCGTGGCAGTAGAACAGATATTTACAGAGGAACAACTTTGGCAGAAACCAGCATCGCTAGCAGCGATGCACAGCAGCAGAGTGAAAAACCTCCCGTGGACTCACATTCACCCATGCTCTCACAGCAGGTATCTTTTAATTCGCCACTTTCGGCTTATGATCCTTTTTATTTGCATGACCTTTGCGTACATGCGTTTATTGGTATATCAAGTGCGTCGAAAAGAGAAGGAGACAAAGAAAATGACTTTCTTTCTTTTTGACTGATACTTTGAGTTATAATCTTTGGAATTTGGGACCGAATATAGAGAGCCAAACTTAGTTTTTTCCAGCGATTCGTATGTCTTTGATATGCCTACTATGCATTTGGATGACTACAGTTATCCATCTGAAGTATGTGAAATGATTTGATTTTCTACCTGATCAAGTTACAATATGCATCAAGCATAGATCGTGTGCATGCGCAAAAGTGAGCATCCTATACTAGGTGTAGGTCGCTTCTAAAATCGTGACAATAGCGGCGGAAGCGAGGGTTGTGCACGCAGTTTCGACATTCATTTTCTTTGTCTCCTCTTTTCGACGCATTTTCTGTAGTTATATGTTAGCTGCTGGACACTTGGCTCCGGCCAGACTTTGCTCAAAAACGCCCAAATTTCTCTAATATCTCTTCACTTTCTCTGTGAGGAGAGATGAGAGAAATTGGGGAGATGCTACAGAAACTTAGGCGCTTTTGAGCAAAGTCTGGCCGAGGCCTTGAAGTGACTGAGCTGAGAGCTAAAGTGTTGGAATGCTTAGGCCCTGGCCAGACTTCGCTCAAAAGCGCCCAAAAACGCCCAAATTTCTTTCGTGTCTCTTCACTTTCTCGTGTGAGGAGAGATGAGAGAGAGAGAGAGTGAGGAGAGGTTAGAGAAGTTTGGGCGCTTTTGGTCGCTTTTGAGCGCTTTTGGGCGCTTTTGAGCGAAGTCTGGCCAGGGCCTTAAATGCTCTTGTCACCTTTGGTGAGCGCAAAACCGCAGTCGGATTCCTTGCCCGATCTTACGAATGTTCTATAGAGATGTAGAAAAGGGTCTTTGAGGAAATTATATTCTGAGTCAGTGTGACAAACGATTTGTTCAAGGTTAATGTTAAGAAAGACCAAAAATGTGCGTATTAGTCTAGGAGTTGTTCTTATGCAAAGCTGATGTTTAGTTGCGCCGAAGCACACCTACCGGTCAAGATCTCCCCAGCGATGGTAGGATGAACGTCGATCCTAACCTGCTCGAACCGCTCAAAGCAGATAGTTACAGTCAAATGTGCAGAACAGCAACTTCAGGCTTTCTTCCATTTTCTGCCAATAGCGGACCCTTTCCTACTCGGATTGTGAACGAATCCATTTTCTCCTCCTCGTTAGGGGCGCATTCGAGCGATTCGTACGATCCTATTTTCCAAATGTCGAGCATAGAATCGGAGAGACGACCTTTTGACATTGTAGCGCGGAGTGAAGGAGTGCGCCCAGACTGCCAAGTAATATTTGCTTACGCATATTTCTTGTAAACAACGTTGACTTTCTAGGCAAATAGTTTCGATCATACAATAAACCAAACACCCATCATGTCCATGAGCGATGGTTCACGGACGATGGAGAGTGGCGTACCGCCGGATCTTTCCAATGTAATTTTCGTGTTTTGATCCGCGTGCGGTTTTTTGGAACTTTTTGTTGCAGATCTATGCATCTGTGGAAGCTTTGGATATTCCGAATGTGTCTTCTGACAACGGTTTGGTTGATATGAATGGAGCGCTAGACCAAAATCATGTGGATGCAGATCCGACCGCATTTGAACAAGGAGTTGAAAAGCTGGAGACTGAAACGGACGATCGTTTTTTGAATTGGCTCTATGTAAGTGTATCTTCGTTTCTTCCTCTCGTATCCTTTTCTTTGATATTGTGCTCCACAATTTCGATATATCATACTATTCAATGGGATTTAGTGTGAGAATGAGCATGCTGAAGATGATAATGCTGAGTATACTCGTGTGTTGGAAGAGATAGAGCGGGATGCATGTTATCCTCTCAAAGTTGAAAGCGACAACCAAGCGTCTGACTTCAATATGACTGCTCCACCTTCTAATCTTCCGGATGGCTATCGCAAAATTGAGCTAGATCCTTCTCATCCGTTGTCATCTGACTGCGTCGTGGGAGAGTATGCTTCGCTTCCTCCAACAATGCCACCACGAGAACCTGTTCCTGATGTAAGCCTTCATTTTTTCACATTCTCCCATTACTTTTTTTCCACATAGTTTGGCCATGAAGTCCTATCGTTTCTCAGGGTTACGTAATGAATGATTATGAATCCGATCTCGACCTTGATATGTTGCCAATTGGCGAAGATGAGGAGACCATGTATGGACGCCTACTGGATGTTCTTGTGAGGGATATAAAACTTTTGACTTACGTAAGTTCACAGTACATTAATTTGCAGGTGTTTGTGCCATTATTCTCCTATTTTTTATAATTAAATTCATGTTCCTAAAATATGGCACCTACATCTCATGTCCATACGAATTTTTTTAGAATTCTTATTCCTTTATGCAATAATTATTCCTTATTTCATCATTATTGATTCAAATTATCTTTTTTATTGTGTGAAGTAGGGGAGATCTATCAGACTTATAGAAGTCTTTCAAACTGTTGTATCCAATAAATTTGCATGAAATCCCCGACATTATTTTGGATAGCTTATTTCCCCTACATACGTTACATACGTTAGAGTCGCAGAGGGTTTATCTCATTGGTACCTGTGCGCTAGTCGTCGGAGTCTCTTTTTCTTCTCGACTTGTCAAGCATAAAATGGCGCGTTTGGATTGTAAAACGCATGGAATATTCAATGAATCATAATTTAGAATAATGCGGCTCTGGTGGACGAAGTCTCGAGGTTGAATTATGCCATTCTCATAGCTTCAGAGGAGCGAAAGTAAGTCCAAAAGTGATGAGTCTGGACATAAATATTATATAATTTGCAGAGTACTGGCAAGACGGTCTTGTCATCATGACAGAAATCGCATACGGCGCCTGCAAACTGCTAATAAACGCAAATCGGACGCTCAGAAACGTCAACAAGAGCAGCTGACATTGGCAGAAACTCAAGAAAACATTGCCCAAATCAAAGCGAAGATGGCGAAAACCATTGCTAGTCCTCAGAAGGTTACTATCACAAGAATGTTCTTCTTTTGCTTTTTCGTCCGGCTTCCGATAAAATATGTTCAGGTAAAACCTGCTTTGCCATCTTCATGTCCAAGACCAACTCTAGACGTCGCAGCAATTAAGCGCAGCGTTGAAGCTGAACAACGTGCTCTCGAAGTTCGAGCATCTTCGAAAAAGTCCAAACGAAAGGTACCTTCGCTTTTTCTGAAATTTTTCCCGAGTTCTGAGGACTTTTTTAGATCTATCATTCAACATCTATTTAGATTTTGTTATTTATTCATTTCATCCACAATTGCTTTTCTAGTCCGGAAGTTCGAAATCGCAACGTAGACGAACAGAGCAGCGTGCAGAAAGTGCATCAAGTGCTCTGACGTTAGTCTCAGGTTACATATACACGCGCCCATCACCTTATTGCAAATTTTGCAGAGATCTAGCAGAGAGCCCTGCGAAGCGGATGCGAAGTGAGTCCGAACGAGCCCTTGTCAGCGAAGATATGACACTTAGAAAAGAGTGAGCCTAATTTCTTTCGGCACTCGAATCTCATATGTTTTTGCATCGTTTCTAGTGATGAAGATCCTGCGGATTGGCAGAATCGACGAAAACGAGGAAGTCGTTTTTCTACTCCACAACAAGGTTTAATGGACGGTAGCGGTGCTTTATCCGATACTATAAATGTACAGGAACCAGGACCGCTGAAAACTAGTGACGGTAGGAATTTTGTGTATCTGCCGACGCTGTCTACTTTAGTGTGAACTGGATTTAGGAAGCGTCGAAGCGAATATGATGCATGAAGTGGAATCAGCTCTTCTTCCAGCCGACATAGGAAAAGATGATGATTCACAGTCTTGGCGTCGGAGATCAGGACGTCCACCTGCGCGAGCTGCCAGTGCTGCTGCGCAGACTCTTCTCGCTGCTGAATTGGCTGCCAATGACGAAGCTTCATTTTCTACCAAAAAACCCAGTCGTGCTCGCTCAAACACCAATGAGTCGCCTAATGCTCGCGCATCCAAATCTAAGCGCAATGCATCTGTGGGTGTTCTCGGACCAGAAGACGGTTCTGATGAGCCTTTGGCGCATTCTGACAATAAAGAGCTTGGGCTTGAACTTTATGACACAGAATGTCATGGAGAATCGGCATATTTGGACAGATCCGAATCGGAACACAAAGATGATGCTCCTGATGAAGAAGCAGTGCTAAGTGATGCGCTAGAAAGTGAGGACTCGAGAGGATCGCAACGATTGCGGCCTATGAGAAGATCTACGAGAACGGTACGTAACGTTTTGTTTTTAGTTTGCTTTTCCAGTTTCTTTGCTTTTCTTGAGTCTGTGTTTTGTTGCTAGCAAGAGACTGAATATTCAGTCTTCGCGCCAGAGCTTTGGTGATGTGGCTGATGGTATTGATACCCAACAGCGAAGTTCACGATCGCCTTCACATGAGGAACATTCGGTAGGCGAGGAGCCAGTATCCAGGGCAACAAGGTGAATCAGCCCTACCGCTTTGTCCTTTCGAATATTCCTTTGCTAGTTGCAGCAAGAATTAGCTTTTATTCAGATCTCACGGGAGAGCAAGTAGTTCATCAGTCACCCAAAATGAGCGGCAAATGAGGGAAAGAAAGCAAACTGTTCTATATTCTCCTGTCGCTAAAACTTCTCCTGCACCACAAAGTCGAAGTGTAAAAAGAAAGTCTTAGATTAATAAATAAAATCTATCATATGAATACATGGATTGTTGCTTTTTTTCTGACACAAACGAGGAGTTCAGGACATTATGGCAAGCCACTGGAAAACGACAAAATGTATATATTTTCTTTTTTGTTTGAGTCATTGGAGAGCTCTACAAAACATCGGTACTTGTTGGCTAGAATTATCTTTTAGGAAGATCACATGGTATTGGAAGCATTTTTGATTTGACTAAGCCCCTCTACCCATATCATAAAAACTGTAATTTGACACCGCGTACTTACGCCAGCCTGGAATGTTCCTGGTATGTATCGATATAGGGAATGGAATTCTGCAGTCAAATTCTAATGTTTAGTCCAAGGGCAGACATTGCATCATATTATTCTTCAGGATTTCACGATATTCTAGCTACATATAGCTAACTATCAGATTCGATATCTTCATCCTTATACTTTCTATCTAAACGTCTTTTTAGCTCTGTATGTCTGTGTTGAATATGGGGAGGTTAATGTGACAGTTGTGATACCGTATCGATCCAGCTTATCAAATCAACATTCTGGAGTGTTTTTGCGTCGCTTAAAGAAAATAGCAACTTTCGAGGTCTACAACGATTTGCTGTCATCCCAAAAAGTGTGCACACTGCTTGATTTTTGGTAATTCTCTTGCTCCAATGTCTTTTGCCGATCTTTTGATACCATTCTGTAGAGCGGACTTCAGCTTAAGTTCACATATGGAGCAAATTTCCGGTGTCTCTCCGGTACTATACATTTACGGTAGAAACTTTCAGCATTAGGACCATTGTGGAATAGACCGTCTGGCGATTTTTTTTTCAAAAACCCTCAGAGTTGTGTGTTAGGATTTTCACGCGTGCTGATCTCAATACACAACCTTTTGCGAGTTTCCAGCTTTTCTGACGGTGTAACCACATTTTCATTGCTGTATATACGCAAATTTTCATCGAAATCTCAGCACATTCCTGGGACCAGCACCAGCGCTGCACAGCTTAGAAATGCAAAGAACAGCATTACCTAGATTCTGTTATTGGGCTATAAAAATATTATTGTGCTGCGGCTATTCCTTTTTGGGTGCTTGAAATGTGAGATCACTATTTCATGCTGTAGTATACATTCCCTTTTTGAATAGATCTTGTTGCATCTTCGGATTTATTCCATGCAAGCATCAAGAGAGTCATGAAAATTCATCAAAGAAGTTGCGCAGAAGTTGGGAGAAGAATTTGAAAAAAAATTTGATCTCAACGAGCTTATAACGCGTGGCTGAGCCGCGCATTTTTATTCGAAAAATTTTTTTGTTGCCTCCCTTCCCCCACCGAACGGAAGTTCTGGGTATACCACTGCTATTTGCCACCAGAGACAAAGCGAAGAAGAAGAATTTAGCGGCGTAGAGAAGAGGCTCCGCTATGATTAGCAATTTGAATAGGCCTTGTAGGGTGAATAAGGAAGGTTGTGAAAGGTCTTTGTGCATTTTCCAGTGGACGGTAAAGTAGAGTGAGGGGATTGAGTTCGTGTTCCCAACCCATTTTCAGACCTTCTCCATTCCATATCGAATTTGCCACAAACACTTTTTCGTTTTGTTAATATCTAAAGCGTTCGTCAATATATCAAGAGTTAGTCGTTATGAATGACAACGAAATCAATTCCCTTGAAGGAGTACCCATTTAGATCTGAGGTATAAGAGATAACTGTGCAATACATGGCCTCAATGCAAATGTTATAATTTGGAAGAGAGAACTCACTGTCAGGCGGATTATGGCCCCTCACTATATCAACTCCATGGATGCCTACAGTCGAGTAGATTCTCCGCTCAATATACAGGGTGTCCCAAAAGTAAGTACACACTTTTCAATCGCCAATATCTCTCTTCCCAATGGATCTTTTTTTGCCAGTCAAGTACCATTCTGTAGAGGAAGCTTCAACTTAGATTTATAGTAACGAGCGAATCACTGATCACTTTTCGTTACTGTAGGATTACGGCAAGAACTTCCAGCATGTGCAACCATTGTGAAATATGCCATCCTACAAAATCTTTTTCAAAAAATCTGAAACATCGTGTACTAGGGTTTTAGCGCACGCTGATTCCACTACACAACTTTTTACCAGTGTTTTCAGCTTTTTTGACGGTGTAATCACATTTCTGACAAATACTGAGATTTTGATTATTACGGTTTACCTGGAATAACTTTGGAAAGAAGCATCACAGTAAAGTGGAAATTTCATATTCAAAATCAGCGGCATCCATTACCATAGTATAAGACTTTTTGGCTTATTTGGTTTTGTTCCGAGGCAGAATATTGCTTCCAATGGCCGAAAATCCCTGTTAAAGTTCCTACAGTAATCCTACAGTAATGAAGAGCGATCGGTGGTTCACTCGACACCGAAAATCTAAGTTGAGGCCTCCTCTACAGAATGGTACTTGAATGGTGGAAGAAGACGCAGTGAGAAGAGAGATATTAACTATTGAAAAGTGTGTACTTACTTTTGGGACACCCTGTAGTGTGCTTGCGGTGCTAAAAACAACCCGGTAAAATTTGCGTGTGAACAAATGCCCACGCTGGTCACTCGCTCGCAAAATACTAGCATTGCTGACGGGCTATTTGTTCACGCGCAATTTTACCGCATTTTCTCGGCACCGTTAGCATGTTATATTTATCTAAAATCTACTCGACTCTAGTCTGCAGCAGACGGCAACAGCATCTGTCTAAAGCAGAAGGGAGACATACCAGCAAAAAGCGAATATACCCTTTGATTCAACTGGCTTGGCGGCTGGAAGGCGGGGCTTCGTGGCCTAATTAAGGCTTAGATAATGATCAGAGAGCGCGCGCGCGCGAGAGAGAGAGACACAGACTGCATTGCGGGTGCGAACGCCTTAATTGGGTCACAAAGCCCCGCCCTCCAGCCGTCAAGCCAGTTGAATCAAAGGTTACCTCTTCCGAAATTTTTGTCCGGACTCTCCAAAAGGTGTGGACCAACCGCAGTTTCGTCTAACGCGCTTCGAAGCCAAGAAGTATAGCTTAGCATGTAAAACTTAGGAAAGGAAGAAGAAGTTGACTTGACCGGACACTGCTTCCAGAAAATCTGAGGCTTATAAGTATGAGAATGTGAGGACTGTCCAACTGCACTATTTTCCCTCCGACTCGTGTTTACGGTGAAATGTGCCCTCGAACAAATTTAAGAGCTTGCGAGCCAATTTGCGACTATCCCAAATCTGAGCATCCTTGTGAACAAGTTTGATGTAATCACACTTTTTTCTGATGTGAGTTTGTTTCGATATTTTTAGCGACCCTTCGGAAGAAATTCTCTCCTTTCTTTGTTCATAATCCCGCTATTTTTCAGCTCTTTGAACTATCATTTTTTTTTATAATTTTTTCAGAAAGATTTCCAGCATCCCTTTGTACTCTTCATCGAGGTTTTAAAGCAAAGAGAAGTTAAAGCTGTTTTTGTAGGTACCTTTTTTCAAATACCTTCAAGAGAGGAAAAGAAAGCTTCTTTGGCGTCTTGAGAATCTCTTTTCTTTAAAAGCCTCTTTTCTTTAAGCCTTTTTTTCAAATATCTCTGAGAGAGAAAAAGAAAGCTAAGAAAGCTTTCTAGCCTTCTCTGTTCATTCACTAAGGATGATGAGACTTGCTCACGTCGTAGTCAATGTGAAATGGAATGTAGGCGTACCCATGACCTTGAAGGATCGGCTGAAGTAGCTACACAAATTTTGCAAGATTCAATAAGTCGGGTTACAACCTTCATTCATGAAGTACGGATGTGTATGTATGTTCGCTGTAAAGAGCTAGTAAAACAGCGTCGTTTTGGGTGGACAGTACCCTCAAACGGTTGAGAAGCTGTGTCACGATATCAGTAGGAAACTTCAAATGATGATTTGTCTTTCCGCAGTTCTCTTCGAGTATTTTAGCTCAATGCGCCTGGAGTTGTTCCTTTCTAATTTTTATTTTCTATTTTCTTGCCCCTACATATAAGAAAGAACATGGAGCTTTGAAGAAGGCTCATAGTCAGATTGCAATCTCCGATCATGCTAGCTACCAAGTCCTTCATTTTATACACATTCATGTCCTCCACCAGCTCATTCGGATCAACAAATTTCATTCGCGCACTAACTTCGTTTTGCCCTCTCCGCGCAGTAGTCATCCCACTTGCGCAGATTAATAAGGTCAATTCAGCAGCGCTTCTGGTCTGCGTGGAGCGTGGAGCGTGGAGCTAACAATCAAAGCATGTTCTTTTTCTTCGTTTTTAATATTATCATATAATCCTGTTATTCAGCTTTTTCAACTCCCCCCCCCCCTTAGAATTTGATAGCTTGTGCAAGGCCTAGACAAATCTAAGATAACTGAAGTCTTTGTTCCGTGGCAGACACAAAAATCGCACTTGTTTCGCACTGTAATTTCATTCTTTGGAGGTTAGAGTAGTTATGAGTCAAGCCAGTTATAGTATTTGCGTGATTGGATTTATGTTTGAGTCGGAAAAACCATATTTAGTGGATATTGCAGAGCTACGTCCCATTTGCCATTTTCGTCAGTTATCTTCGTAATTCCGCAAAATAACCCGCTGTTTATTGATATCATTCAGCGAGGCTGATGCAAAAAAGTAGTTTCAATTGCCTATATGCATCATATCCAATAAATAACCTTGCTAGGCGAATTACCGTGACAGCCGTGAGGTCCAGGTAAGAATAGCCCTTGAGTACAGGTGTATTCTGCTGTCTAGGTAGAATCACCTACTAAATATTTTGGACAGTACTGGAGCTGCTTTGAACCGCCCAGCTGATGAGCCCACATGCGCGGTTGAGATCATCAGGAGCTTTCACATCAAAATGCATGTTTTTTGTACATGGTTTTTACGCTTTGCGTTCTGCTTTTCTGTGGCATGACACAAGATTTTCTGAATCAAATACGTCCACAATTTTTCATGTCTGGTTGATTGAGAGTATATGCTTTTCATCCCACTCCGAGCTCTTTAAAAACATAATCTAGTAACTCTGCAATCCGTCAGTGTTTGCGCACCCTTTTAAAGTGTATTAAATTTGGACAAACCTAGTATGAGGATCTGATGCAAGAACAACTCGATATAGCCAGTC